ATATATGTATGTATGTATATGTAAATTCATATATATAATTATATATATAATAAAGAATAATCCTTTATTTCTTTTATTGTGAAGCATCTAATCTAGTCATAATAACAAAATATTTTTTATTCCATTTCAAAGTAGTTAAGGTCTCTTTCCCCTGTGAGCATTGTATAGTAAGGTCCTATCTAAACCAGCTCACAGCAGTCGGAGCTAGCTTTATTCTCACTCCTGTTCAGTTGACATTTGTACAGCTCACTGAAATAGAAAAAAAAATGGACTATATTTATGTAGCTGACCTCAGGCAGAATGATATCCTAAAGCATATGTACAGACATGCATTTTAAAGGTTGTACTCTAGGGGTGCCAGGGTGGCTTAGTTGGTTTGAGTGTCCCACTCTTGATTTCAGCTCGTCATGATTCCAGGGTCGTGGGATCAAGCCCCATATCGGGCTCCGTGCTGAGTGCTTGGAACCTGCTTGAGATTCTCTTTCCCTCTCTCTAAAAATTAAAAATAAATAAATTGTACTGTAGTGTAAATGATACACGTTTTTAACATTTAGTGAAGTTTTATTTTGTTAGAAGTAAAAATGTCATCTTGATAACTTCATGATTTTCTTATCTTAAGATAACCAGGCTTGCCATATTATCAATTTGACAAACAGATCCCCCAGCCTCCTTATTTTGAAGTCCCTGTCCCATGCTTCAACTTAGGAATGATTTTTTTTTTTTTAATTTCAGACAAATCTGCCTATTTTCAAGCTGAAGGAATCTACTGTTAGAAGAAGATACAGTGACTTTGAGTGGCTGCGAAGTGAATTAGAAAGAGAGAGCAAGGTAAGAATTATTTGCAATAGGACTTTAAAGCAAAACACTGACTTTTAATGTTTAAGAACCTTTCAGAAAACTTACCTAGAATGAAGGAGGTAAAAGCATATTTGATTTCTTCATTTCAAGGAGTTCGATTTTATCTTATGGGAGATAGAAGAAGTCTAATTTTTGCTCAGAACTCTTTCTTGTTTACTTAAAGGCCCAGTTGAGGTCTTTACTAAGTCATAGTTGAGTAACACTTACTTCTTAGAACTTTTTTGCTATTACTTCCTTCCTTTCCCTCATCTTCCTATTCAGTCTTGCCCCCCCACACACTCCTTGCCAAGTTTGTCTTCCTTAATACATCTCATGTATCAGTGGATTTCCAGGGTTTTTTTACTGACTCATAATAAATATTTTATTTCATCATCACACATGTATATATTAACAAAAATTTTCAAAAACCAGTACTTACCTTACTCTGTGATATGTCTTTCTTCAGCTTAGCTTTTTAAATGACGGTCATGGTCTCATAGGTTGCTACATGCGGTTTTTTTTCAAGTTTATTTATTTATTTTGAGAGAGAGCAGGGGAGGGACAGAAAGAGAGGGAGAGAGAGAGAATCCTAAACAGGCTCTGCACTGTCACCGATGCAGGGCTCAAACTTACGAACTGTCAAATCATGACCTGAACTGAAATCAAGAGTCAGACGCTTAACTGACTGAGCCACTCAGGTGCCCAACTACATGCAATTTTAAAACTGTTAAATACCTTGGTAAGAGTCATCTCCTCTTAAAAGAAAATTTGGTGACTTTGGCTACAAAAAAAATCAGCAAGGCAAGGTCTCCTACTAGTCCCTTATTTCAGCCCTATGTCAGAAGAACATCAACAACATAGAGTTCTGGAAGGGCATGGTGTGCTCAGAATGATGAAAAGTTACTTTGTGACTAGAGTGTAATAGGAAACAAGTTGACATGGTAGGAGCCCTGAAGTAGGGTCGCTTCTACTCATTTCTCAAGTGTGATAAGTTGAAGCGGAAGGAAAACTTCCTTAACCAGACCTGTGGCTGGATAGAGAACAATATACACAAATCATAGCATTCCATCAAAATTTAAAGGAAAAACAACTTTACTCAACAGACTATCAAAGCAAAGGGGCACCTGGGTGGCTCGGTCAGTTGTCTGACTCTTAATTTTGGCTCAGGTCATGATATCACAATTCATGGCTTTGAGCCCTGCATGGGGGCTCTGCGCTGACAGTGCGGAGCCTGCTTGGAATTCTCTCTCTCCACCTCCCCTGCTCATTCTTGCTCTCTCTCTTTCAAAATAAATAAATAAAATTAAAAAAAAAAAAGACTATCAAAGTATAAAATGTTTATGAGTAAAAAAGAAATGTAAGACCATGTAAAGAAAATTTCAAAACTTAGAAATACTACATTCTTGTTTTGGAATATTCGCTTTTTTTTTTAACTTGTTTTATTTTTTATTTTTTTAACTTTACATCCAAATTAGCATATAGTGCAACAATGATTTCAGGAGTAGATTCCTTAGTGCCCCTTACCCATTTAGCCCATCCCCCTTCCCGTAACTCTCAGTTTGTTCTCCATATTTATGAGTCTCTTCTGTTTTGTCCCCCTCCCTGTTTTTATATTATTTTTGTTTCCCTTTCCTTATGTTCATCTGTTTTGTATCTTAAAGTCCTCATATGAGTGAAGTCATATGATTTTTGTCTTTCTCTGACTAATTTCACTTAGCATAATACCCTCCTGTTCCATACACATAAGTTGCAAATGGCAAGATTTCATTCTTTTTGATTGCTGAGTAATACTCCATTGTATATACATACCACATCTTCTTTATCCATTCATCCATCGGTGGACATTTGGGCTCTTTCCATACTTTGGCTATTGTTGATAGTGCTGCTATAAACATGGGGGTGGATTTGTCCCTTCGAAACAGCACACCTGTATCCCTTGGATAAATGCCTAGTAGTGCAATTGCTGGGTCGTAGGGTAGTTCTATTTTTAGTTTCTTGAGGAACCTCCATCCTGTTTTCCAGAGTGGCTGCACCAGCTTGCATTTCCATGGAATATTCACTTTTTTTAAACTTGTTTTATTTTTACTCTGTAAACATTTACTCTGTAAACATTTGAGAGCTAATTCTTTATGTTCTATGAGTTATAGATAGAGCTGTGAATAAATTAAGTTCCCACTTCTATGAGGTTTACATTCAATTGGGAAAGTTGGGGTTGTGGTGAAGGAAAAGCAGAAAAAATAGTAAGATATATAGTATGTCTGATAGGAATATGTTCTAAAAAAACCAAAAACTATAGGAAGCAAGGAATTCCAGGAGAGTACTCTTTTATAGAGTAGTCAAAGGAAGCCCTCACTTAGAGGTGACATTTTAGCAGTAAACCTGATCAAAGTAAAGCATTACCTCCTAACTTACTTATGAATTCATAAAATTCTAACAGAAATCTTAATGTTTTTTTTAATGAACTTGCAGATTTATATCTGAGCTTTACAATCCAAGAAAGCTCAAGAAGAGTCAGAAATTATTTTCAGCATGTACTAATAAGCATATGCAGACATCAGAGTTTATCTTAAGCTATAGTAATTAAAATAGTTTGCTATTGCTTTAGGAATAGGCAAATAGATTAGTTGAATGTAGTAGAACTTAGAATGAATGTATAGATCTTAGCAGCTGACTTACGTGTTTATTAGAAATTTAGTTCAGAACAAAAATAACATTGTCATTCAGTAGGGAAAAGAATTTATATTCAGTAAATGGAGTTGAAACATTTGGCTGTCTAGGAATAAAAATTTATAACTGTGTATAAATTATATGGTTTTAAGCTCTAAATGTACAAACCAAGTTAGAAAAGTTAGGGGTAACAAAGAAGAAATGTTTTATGACCATAGGGAAGAAGTGTCCTTTTTCCCCAGCTTTAAAATTGAGATATAATTGAGGTGCCTGGTGGCTCAGTCGGTTAAGCATCTGACTTGAGCTCACGTCATGGTTTCACATCACAGTTCATGAATTCAAGCCCCATGCTGGGCTCTATGCTGACAGCTCGGAGCTTGGAGCCTGGTTTGGATTCTGTGTCTCTCTCTCTCTCTGCCCCTCCCCTGCTCGCACCCTCTCTCTATCTCTCTCTCTCTCAAAAGTAAACACTAAAAAAAATTTTTTTTTAAATAATAAAATTAGGATATAATTGACAGATAACATTATTTAAGTTTAAGGCATACAGTATAATGATTTGTTATATGTATATATTGTGAAATGATGAACTCAATAAGCTTAGTTACTATACCGTCACTTCACATAGTTACTTTTTTTTTCGTGGTGGTGGTGGTAAGAACATTTCAGATATGCTTCTCTTGGCAATTTTTAAATATATGATACATTATTGTTAACTATACTCCCCATGCTCTACTTTAGATCCCCAGAACTTACTCATCCTATAACTGGAAGTTTGTACCTTTTGACCAGCATGTTACCATTTCTCCCACCTGCCAATCCCTGGCAACCACTAGTCTCTGCTACTCTCTGTTGCTATGAGTTTGATTTATTTTAGATTCCACCTATAAGTGAGATCATACAGTATTTGTCTTTCTCTGACTTACGGGAAGAAGTGTCTTGATGGGCTTTGGGCTTTGCTTAACATAGTGCATGGCATGTTGGAGTGTTTAATAAACATTTGGTGAATGTATATAGCACTGTTTGAAAAAATAACAGCTTTATTGACATATAATTCACATGCCATACAATTCACCCATTTAAAGTGTAAAATTCAGGGGCCCCTGGGTGGCTCAGTTGGTTAAGAATCTGACTCTTGATTTCAGCTTAGGTCTTGATCTCATTGTTTGTGAGATTGAGCCCTAAATCGGGCTCTGTGCTGACAGCACGGAGGCTGCTTGGGATTTCCTCTCTCCTCTCTCTCTGTGCCTCCCCCTGCTCACACACACATTCTCTCTCTCAAAATAAATAAATAAAAATAAACTTTGAAGAGTAAAATTCAGTGGTTCTTGATATATTCATAAAGTTGTGCAACAATCACTAGTCAGTTTTAGAACATCTTAATTACTCCATAAAAGAAATCCCATACCTATTAGTAGTCGCTACCAATTTCTCCCCCAGCCCCTCCTCACCCAACCCTATACAGCCATTAATCTACTTTCTCTATGGATTTGCTTGTTCTGGACATTTCATATAAATAGCATAGAATATTTAGCCTTCTGTGTCTGGCTTCTTTCACTGAGTGTGTTTTCAACATTAAACACTACTTCTTTTTTTCTTTTTTTTTTTAAATTTTTTCTTAATGTTTTTATTTATTTTTGAGACAGAGAGAAACAGAGCATGAGCAGGAGGGCAGAGAGAGGAGACGTCGACATTCAGTGACCTGGCAGGCTCCAGGCTCTGAGCCATCAGCACAGAGCCCAATGCGGGGCTCGAACTCACAGACTGTGAGATCATGACCTGAGCTGAAGTCGGACGCTCAACTGACTGAGCCACCCAGGGGCCCCACTACTTCTTTTTTTCTTAACTCATTTCTTTTCATTGCCCAATAATAATATTCTGTTGTGTGGATATAACACATTTATTAATCAGTTTGCAGACATTCAGTTGTTTCTACTTTTTGACTATTATAGATGATGCTGCTGTGAACATTTGTTTACAGGTTTTTGTTTGGACATATATTTTCATTTATCTTGAGTATATACCTAGAAGTGGATTTACTGGGTCCTGTGACAACTCTCTTTAATTTTGAGGAACTCCCAGACTGTTTACCAAAGCAGCTGCACCATTTTACATTCCCACCAACAATGTGCGAGAGTTCCCGTGTACTCCACATCCTCACCAACACATAACTATTATGTCTTCTTTATTATAGCTGTCCTAGTATGTGTGAAGTTGGAATATCATTATGGTTTGAATTTTCATTTCCCAGTGGCTTATGATGTTGATCATCTTTCCATGTATTTATCAGATATATATATATATTTATTTATTTATATTTATATTTATATTTATTATCAGTTATATATATATATTTTTTCAGATCCTTTGCCCATTTAATCAAGTGTTTTGTCTTTATTATTGAGTTGTACCTAGAATATACAAAAAACTCTTAAAAGTCTCTTACAAGATAGTTGATTTGCCAAAATCTCTTTATCTGTGAATTGTTTCCACTTATTACTGTCCTTTGAAGCACAATACTTCAGTTTTAACAATAGACCAGTTAAATCTCTGAGGGATTTAACCTATGTGAAAGTTGTATTTTCATTATAGTATTGCTAAGAACAATTAATCAAGTTATTTTAAGTACCTTTTTTTTTTTAATTTTTAAATTTTTTTTTAGTTTTTATTTTTGAGAGAGGGAGACAGAGTGTGAGTGGGGGAGGAGCAGAGAGAGATGGAGACACAGAATCCAAAGCAGGCTCCAGCTGTCAGCACAGAGCCCAACACGGGGCTTAAACTTACGAACTGTGAGACCATGGCCTAAGCCGAAGTCGGATGCTTAACTGAGTGAGCCACCCAGGAGCCCCTGTTTATAAGTATTTTTAATTAAATAAGATCTGTCATATGAGGCTAGGAAGTAGATGATATTTATTGTGTTTACTGGTCATTTATAGTGATATCTTTTTAGCTTTTATTTTAGTATGCTTTCACTATATTATGCTGGCCAAGTATTTTCCTGTCTACTTCTAACCCCACGTGTACACACGTATCTTTGGATTAATGATGATTAGATTGGTATAAGAATTCTATCAGACTTCAAGCTGTATTACAAATCTGTAATCATTAAGACAATATGGTACTGGCACAAAAACAGACACTCAAATCAATGGGACAGAATAGAGAACCCAGAAATGAACCCACAAATATATGGCCAACTAATCTTTGACAGAGCAGGAAAGAATATCCAATGGAATAAAGACAGTCTCTTCAGCAAATGGTTTTGGGAAAACTGGACTGTGACATGCAGAAAAATGAACTCGGACCACTTTCTTACACCATACATAAAAATAAACTCAAAATGGTTGAAAGACCTACATGTAAGACAGGAAGCCATCAAAATCCTCAAGGAGAAAGCAGGCAAAAACTTTTTTGACCTTGGCAGCAACAGCTTCTTACTCAACACGTCTCTGAAGGCAAGGGAGACCAAAGCAAAAATGAACTACTGGGACCTCATCAAAATAAAAAGCTTCTGCACAGCAAAGGAAATAATCAGCAAAACTAAAAGGCAACTGATGGAATGGGAGAAGTATCAGATAAAGGGTTAGTATCCAAAATCTGTAGAGAATGTATCAAACTCAACACCCAAAAAACAGATAATCTAGTGAAGAAATGGGCAAAAGACATGAATAGACACCTCTCCCAAGAAGACATCCAGATGGCCGACACATGAAGAAATGCTCAACATCACTCATCATCAGGGAAA